GTCTCCTTCTGAAACAAAATCCCTTCTCCCTGGGTGGGCTCCATGCCACTCAGTCCCTGCCTCACACACCACCTCCACTCCCAGCAGGACTCCACACTGGCTTTGATGTGCTCAGGCCACTGCAGTCAGGACATGAAGCCCACGGCTCCATCTCGCTCCAGTTGCCACCAGCCCAGCCCAGCCCATCTCGGTGGGGCAGGACTGAGCCATGCAGCTCTGGCACAACCCTGCACAAGGAAGCTCACAAGGGCCACCATCAGCTCCAGCCCTCACTCCCAGCCTCTGCAGAGGCTGTATGAGAGGCAGTGTGGGTGAAACCATCGCTCCTACAGTGTTTATTTTAGCAACACAAATAAGGGATTGAAATTAATTACTGACTGGCAAGTGCAAGGATACAGGGGCGTGGCATCATGGGGGCGTCATCCAGCAAAGAGGGGACAGGAGCCAGGTCACAGCAAGACACCCAGGACCTGTGGGTGTCATCCCAGAGAGCCCGAGGGCTCCCTGCAGCCCTGCCATCAGCCTGTCCAGCTCTTGATGGGGTCTCACCCCACAGCTGATGTGGTACAGCAGCAAGCAGGCAGAGGCTGCTCCTGAGGCTGAGCCCTGGCATGCACTGGCCCAAGGCAGCTGGCCGTCACTGCACAGCTGGGATGGAGTGCTTGGAGCAGCACATATAGCAGAGATGCAGCCAGCCCCGGCTCAGACGTATGGCATGCTAAGAGCCACTCAAAGAGGGGATCCTGCAACACCTCAGGCCCAGGCCAGCCTTCCCCACATCCCACCACTGCTGAAAACGAAGCAAAGACACCAGGTTCAAAGCAGAAGAGCGTGTATTGCAAGCGGCTATGGCGCGTCCGGAGACATCCAGCCGCCAGGAAAAAAGAACAGAGGGGTTAAAAACGATCCCAGTCTCTAGGGTTACACTGTGTCATGCAAACAGCCCCGGGGCAAACCCCATCCCAGGAGGGTAAGGAGAGGGTGTGTTGGCCCAGCCAGCCCTGCTGGGGCTGGGTGAGGGGCCAGGTGCCCCCCCAGGAGCCAGCATCCTCCAGCCCTGCTCACCAGCGAGCACAGCACGTGTGGGGTGGAGGCTGTGGCCAAGCAGGAACAGCCCTTGCTCTATATCCCCCCTTACAAAAAACAAGCCATATGGGATGTCTGCCCCCCACCCGGTCAAGTGGGGCTGAAGGACAGGGGGAAACACTTAGGCATAATCCACTCTGCCTGGTGAGGTGGCCCAGGGGACCGTGAAGAAGGGACCTCCTCCATAAATGTCACTTGCATGCAAACTCCAGTGTCCCAAGAGAGGAGGGGGTGCTCCCTCCCAGAGAGCCCGGCAGCAGCAGGGTCCCAAGCAGAGGCCAGCACTGGTCCCATGTCCCACGCAGCCTCCCACTGTCTCTGGGGAGCTCTGTTCAGCTCGAGGACAAGTAAAAACTATTTCAAACCAAACCCATGCAAGGCAGCTATTTGCTCGTGTGTCTCAGTGGCTGCCAGATGCACTGGCAGCAGAGTTCCTCTCCTCTTTGGGGAGGGGGGGGGGAATATATATTTATATGCAGGGGTCCCCCGCTGCGCTCACTCTCTGCCGCGGCCTCATCTCTCTGCCTCCATGGTCACATTGGCCTTCTGTTCTGCTGTGGCCTGCTGGGAGACGGCAGCTGGCCACCCCGTGGGCTGTGCCGGGGGGGCCGGAGTCCACATGCTTTGCTGCTGCCCGGGGGGTGAAGCCGCGGGCCAGGTGGGGTTGAAGGCCCCGTGTTGGGGGAGCGGTGGGGCTGGAGGCGGTGGAGAAGTTGCCATGGAGGCCACGGGGCTACTGCTGTTGAAGCTCTCGGAGGCCTTCAGGCGGGAGAACATGGTGAGGGCGTCGGGGAAGTTGGGTGGCGTGGCCGGCGTGTTGGCAGGAGTGCACATCTGTGGGAAAGAGACATGGGGTCAGGCATGGGGGGAAGTCTCCACCTTCTGCCTCCCACCAGGGCCCAGCACAAGATCCCTCTGCCCTCACTGCTGCAGCACACGGAGCTCCCAGACCCGCGCCGTGCTGATGATCCTGCCCACAAGCAGCAGTTATTTAATGCTCTGAAGACAAAATGTTGTGCCAAGAACCCCTAACAGAGGGCCCAGACAGGACCCTGCTGCGCCCGCTCCTGTGCCCAGCCAAGTCAGGGACTCTCTCTGCTCCAGGACCCACTGGTGCCACCCTCAGCCTGCACCTTTCCAGCTCTGTGGAAGTTCAGACTCAGCTCTCACCTCACGGGAGACTGGGTATGCTCAGGGCCTGCCGGGCACTTGCTCTGCACGCTTACTGCACGCTCTAAATCCCCAATTGTCCTGCAGAGTCAAATGAGGCCATGGCAGCCAGCAAATCCCTAAGACACATCTGCCCAGGCAGATTACGGGCTGCCAGGGCACGAGAGTTAAAGAGACTGAGTCTGGAGACAGCTGGGAGAAAGTGCAGGCAGGCAGTGCCCGTGCATGCCCTTGCGTGTTTACACACATCCAGACCAGCACATTGCACTGAGGCACACTCCCATGGGGCAGAGGTTTGCACGCTCAGTCACTCCAGCAAGCGGACAAGGGCTCACACGTGTGGCTGGGCAGTGTGCATCTATCTCTGCCTACAACAGTCTGGTGCTCCAGACCCCCCTCAGGCTCTCTCAGCCTGAAGGGACTGTTCTGGCTCATTGGCCATGCCCAGAGTATCCTGCATGGGACCATCCCTCTCTGGAGCAGCCCCAACCTCTTTCCAGGGTTCTGAGGGCACTCTCGGACCCGCTGTCCCTCTGTGCAAGACAGGTTACACTCTCCAAGAAAACCTCCCTTGGCGGGCAGCTCTGGCAGCACCCAGCCAGACCTCCCTGCCCGCCCCTCCTGAGGCTGTGAAGCAGCAAACTGGGCATCAGCAGCAGTCCTAAACACCCGCTAGCTGGTGCTGCGCCCCAGGCGAGCAGTGGAAAGGTGGGAAAGCACTTACCATCTGATGGTGGTGGCTGTAGGGGATGTTCGTTTCTTGGAAAAAAGCACTGAGAGCAGTCTGAAAAAGAGGGGAGGAAAAAAAAAGGGGGAAGATAATGTTACCACCAGCGTGCAAACTGAGCACCCACTTCCTCACTGCACACAATGGCAGGGCTTTGCAAGACCCCAGAGATGATCCAAAAGGGGCCCTGAGGGGCTGGACCGTGCTCACAGCCCCCTTGCCTGCACTGGAGAGCACTGCGCACAGCTGCTCCCACATCCCTAAGCAGGGACCTGTGCCTGCTGTCTGCTTGTGCCGCGGCAGAAGGGGATCAAACATATTTGGGATCACTGTGCTTGATGCTGAGAAGCGGCTGCTGCTGAAGCAGATCCCAGCAGGCATTTCACAACTCACAGCGATGGTCCACAGCTGTTGCGTGCAGGGAGAAAGAAATCAAATCCAAAGCCGGCAGGGGAAGCCCAGTGGGAACCGGTTACATGCTCATCCTTAACAAGACAAGACCACGGTCACCGTGTTTACACTGGGAGATCCTCAGGGCTAGGGCTGCAGCAGGTAGCCCAACCCATACACCAAAGCATTTCCAGTTCTGTCACAGGCAGGGTATGGTTATGACTGGCATAATTCTGCTCAGCTTCCAGTTCAGACCAGTAATAATCTGGTAAATATGTCACAGGCCACAGGCAGGCGAGTGGACAAGGAGGGCTGCGGGGCGGGAGCACAGGGGGCATTGGCTGGCCCAGAGGGAAGACACCCAGCCCAGGTCTGGGAGGAGCGAGGCAGCAAGAGCTTACAGGGTGCACGGGACTGGGCTGGTGCAGGAGCGGTGAAGGTGAAGCCGACTCCTGTTCTGTGCCAGGCTTCAGCTGAGTTAGGGCCAGAAAACAACATTTGGAGTCAGTTACAGATCAGACTTGATAGAAATGTTAGAGAATTGGTTTGGATTCAGTTGTGGTGGGAGGAAAAGACCCTATAAACCCCCATCCCCAGGGGCAGCCTAGCCTGCAGGTCTACAAGCCGGGGTGTGAGGCACAGGGCTGTGCCCAGGCACTGCCACACCACCCGAGACTTTGCTCTTCTCCTGCAGGCCAGTGATTGGGGCTAACCAAGCTGCTAAAAAAAACCAAGAAAGGCAGAAATACCTGGAAAAAGCAGAGGCAAGTTGTACCAAGCCCTGCATGACTGCAGGAGCCACAGCCCTACCACCACACACACTCCTCGTCCCGGGCCCCACAGCCATACGCTCCTGTGTCACACCCAGGGACAGGATGAACGACGGCAAATCAGCTCAGCTCGCTGATCCCACGGAAAACTGTTCTGCCCCAAAACCCCTAGGCTGGCAGGCCTGAGACAGGTGAAGAGGCTGCGCTCACAATGCTGGGGAGCTGGAGCTGGCCACTTGCAGCAGGATTTATGGTTTCCTGGCTAAAGGGGGGTAAACTATCAGCGAGACCAGATGGCAGCCGGGAGCGATATCCACAAACAATAATCCAGACCTATGGGGGGAAGCAATTGCTGCTGTCGAGTCTGGCAGCTCCTGGACCGTGGGGTAGCATGCAATAACGGGGCTGGCAAGGTTCTTCCCCTCAGCATCTGCAGGCAGGACCCAACAGATTTATTTCACCGGCAGCCACAAAACAGGAATAGGGGCTGCAGCCCTGGAGACCAGCTCTGAACAGGCTGGCACACACCTATGGATCAAGGAAACAGCCAACAGAGACAGGGACACTCCTGAGGCAGTGACACCCCCACCCCCGCACTACCCTTCGTCCTGGGTGAGGTCTGGTGTCAACATGTGCAGGCCCTATCACTCCAACAGAAAGGATGGTGATAAGGAAGGGGGGTAACAGCACAGGCAGAGGTGTAGGTGCAGCCAGATACCATAAGCTGATTAAATCTGCTCTGTGCTCCTGTTTTCCACGTGGCCTTGCACGATCAGCAGACAGGGACAGAGAAGGTCCCCACTGTCCCTGTTCCCACCAATCCCTGCTGATGCTGGGATGAAAGCTGTGACCTGGGTGGAAGAAACACGCCACCATCACAGGCCCCTCTGCCTAAAACGCTGCATCTCCTCCCATCCATCTGCTCCTTTCCAAGTGTGGCAGAAGCAACCCCCTCGGCCCACCACAATGCCCACCACCCATGGGGAACAGCTGCCACCTCCCAAGGGACCCAAGACCCACAGCAGCCCCAACCCAGTGGGCGAGAGGCCCATACACCCATGTCCTCGGTGGCACAGGGTGCCTGGCACACACACGTAACCAAAGCTGCTGATGCCACCTGGACTCCAGCCAGTGTCACAAGTGCCAGGGGCAATCGGTGCAATGGCAAAGCCAATTAAGGTTCCCCTGCTTGAGAAGGAGCCTGAGCTGCAGCTCAGCCCTGGCTCCAGACCAAAGGCCCCATCGCCTGTCACCCTGGGTGTGAGTGGGAGCAGCGCAGCCCTGCACCTGCTGCCTGGCCATGCTCAGCAGGCAACCAGGCCACCGCGTCCCCCAGGAGGCAAAACCAGGAGCTTTGCAGGAGGTGGATCACACACAAACCCTGACAGGGTGCCAAGAGGTGTGTGGTGACCCAGTCAGAGGGAGGATGGCTGAGGGGCCAATTCTGGAAATGAATGCAAGGAGACCTGGGTGCTGAGCAGGACACCTGGCCCTCTGTGGCCACTTAGATGGGACCCTGGGTGCTGTTAGATCCCCTGCCCATCACTGTCCAAGCTGCACTGGCACCCGCTCTGCTCCATCTTGACTGCAGGTGTGAGCTGCAGCCACTGCCAGCACACAGGATTCGGCAGCAGGGAGCCCACAGTGCCACTCTGCCCTTCAGCCACAAAGGAAAGGGAAAGGGGCTCAATAAAACAGAAATACACCAGAAGAGGAAGTGGAAATCCAACCACGGACACAGGGAGCAGAGCCAGACACCTGCTCCTCCTCTTGTTCCCCACACACAACCTCACTACACAGAACAGGGACGCTTAGGACCAGGAAAAAGGAAGGAATGGGTGTTTTTTTAAGGCTGATTTCTTGTTATCCTTCCAATGCAGTCCAAAGGGCAATCAGCGTACAACAAAGCCAAATAATACTTCTCTACCTGGGAAGGAGCCTGATCTACAGCTCAACATGAGACTCTACAAACTCTGAAACGTCTCCCTGGTAGCCTGCTGGGCTCCAGCCATGGTGGAGGTACCTGCTGTCCTCCCTGGCTTCTCCCAAAAAGCCAGCACCTGCGGCCCCAGAGGCTGAGTGCCAGTCCTTACCCAGAGACACTCCAAATCTACACCGTCAGCCTGTAAACCTCCCCCCAGTCAGCCATGGCACTGCTCCAGCTGCTGGAGGGCTGGGCTGGCACAGTCATCCCTGTTGGCACCCACCGTGGCTGTCCCTGGAAACACGGCAGAGCTCACGGCCCTGCAAGAGCGGCAAACTACACCGGGCACACCACAAGAAGGCCTGCCCTGGGTCCCTACAAAACAGAAGCAGAGTAATGGCAAGTGGGACAGGCGGATCCACGTGCTCCCCACAAGCTGCCCCGCTCCCCAAGGATAGAGGGGATGCCTGCTGTCCTGGGTCACGTTCCTTCCCCCGGACAAACTCCAGCCCTGCCAGGGCCAGCAGGACACCATGCATAGCAAACTGCCTCTGCAGCCCCTACCATATCCTGCCCCACCAGAACCCCAGAGAACCCCCAGCCCCAGCCCCGGAAAGTGGTCCCAAAACATCAGCATCCCACCAGCCCAAAGCTATCTGTTTCACAGCGGCCTCCCTCTCCCTCCTGCCAGTGTCCTAATGGCCCATGCTCCTGCCCCCTGCGTGGCTGTCACCTGCAGTGAGTGGGCATTTGTCCACATATGGAAGGTCATGGGCCGGACAGAGAGATGTCACAAGTGCCCTGGCCAGGATGGAGGCGCAGACCCAGGGGAACCCAGCTCCTGGTGTCTTGTCACCGGGCTGTCCAGCTCACCTTGGCTCCGCTGCACAGAGCGCCTCTCCCCACAGTGGAGAGCAGCAAAATCCTCAGGGTGCAAGCAGGCTGCCCCGACTCACACTGCACGCCTGGAGCGGCACTTTGAACTCAAGGAGACTATGAGTGAAGGCAGCACAAATTAGCACTGAACCTGCCTGGACTCCACCAATTTATACTTGCTGCAGATGTGGGCCAGCCAGAAAACACGTGCCACACGAGAATAACAAAAGCCTGAGAATATCACAGGCAAGAGGTGAGAGCACGCTGGAGTCAGGAGACAACACCTCCCTGAAGAAGGCATGCCCAGCAGCCATTTTGCAAAGGGATTTATCTGACCGTTGCACCAAAAGTGAGTGGGAACATGGTAACCGCTCATCGCAGCGCGTTTGTTTACAGCTGAGCTTCCTCTGAGTCATGTGAGTGCCAAGCCGGCAGGAGACGGCTGTTTGTACTTGTGCAACTCGCCAAACAGTGGCAAAGTTCTGCAAAAAAGCCGTTTGAAAGAAAAGTCAAACTTTCGCCATCCGTGCCCAGCTTTTTTGCGACACGCACGGATGAGGTGGAAGCGGATCCCGCCTGTCCCAGAGGGCCACCGTCAAACCGTATTAGTAAACAAAACCCATTACACATCCAACACAGCCACCGCACACGGGGCCCCAGCAACGGCTGTGGCATTGCATGGACGCGGTGGAGCAGAATGCCAGCACGGCTTTCCACCCGTCCCCGCACACCTACTCACTCTCCCTGGCCACGCACGCCGTGGCTGTGAACACCTCTTGGCCTCTGATTCGGCATCTGGAAATCCCATTGCTGCACAGCGATGAACTGCCTCCGTGCCCAATCCAGCCGACAGCAGTCACATTACAGAACGAGCCTCGAATAACGCGGGGAAGGCCTGGCAGCAGCGCTCGCACCCATCCGGGCTGCGCCACGTGCAGAATGAGAGGTGCCCAAGCCACAGGGATGAATCCAAACCAAACCTCCTGCTCTCCAGACTGGCTCAGGCCTCCTCCTGCATCACAACACTGACCCTTCAATTACAGGGGTGCCATTAGTGTCAAATTCATCAGCTCCAGACTACTGAGAGTTGCTGGGGC